AGTCGATCTTGAATGAGACACTCGAGTAGGCACCTTGGAAATAGGAGCTCTTCCTTTTTCTTATGGATCTCCAAAGTTTAGCATGGTTCCTAGCTCTAGTGAGCACTCCACAGATGAATGATTCATTAATGGTGATCATTAGGTTCTGTAGAGAGTATGCATATTAATAAAACACAATTCTTGTCTTTAAGGAGCTTATAGTATAATTTACAGGGATTCTTAACCTGGGTATGGGAAGTGTGTGTGTGTGTGTGTGTGTGTGTGTGTATTGGCTGTCCCTCATTCCTGGAATGTATATCCTCCTCACTTCTATTCTCCTTCCTCCGTTAGGTTCATAGTATTTATGTCCTTGGAAATATAGTTATGAAACACATACGTGATTAGTGATTATGCCCTCTGTGAAAGGAAGGAAAGAAGGAACAAAGGAAGGAAGGGAGGGAAACATTTAAATATGAAAGCCAACAGGTGTGTTGCGGGAGCCATGGTATTGAGGTAGAAAAAGTAATAGGTTTTTATGGAGCAAGGAAGGGAAAGATGCTCCCTAGCCATTGCCTAGGGGTGAAGCAAGCTCTCAGTCCTTCCTCCACCTCCAGAGAGCTCTGTCTTTGCCAAGTTGGTCTCACTAAAAAGGCTCATGAAATCCCACTTCCTCTGTGATATCTTCCATTGGTAAACAAATAAAAATGGCCCCTCCCATGGGTCCCCCAACCCAACCCATCCTACCCACTTCACTTCAAATCTCCACTGTAGTCCACAGGTGTATTGACCTCTTGCAGTAAATGTTTTCCACCATCTCTACCTAGGTTATTCAAGCTTAGCTCTTCGCTTTCCAGATGAACAGCTACTGAGAATCCCTTTAGAGCAAAACTCTCTGAGCTACAGGGTCATTAAATGTACAAATGTGGACCATTCCAAAATTAATTACCACATTAAACTAACAAAAACCAATTTTGAGATGGTGCACATGAACTGACTTCAAATCCTACTTCTGGTGGTGTTTGATTCAAGAAGTAATGCAGAGAATTTCTGAGTGGTTCAAGGCTTTCATACCTGGTGTCCTCCATGATATCAAAGCACTATAGAAATATCAGCTATTATTGTTATCATTATCATTGTTGTTGCTGTTGTTTACTATGACTTCCAATGAAATCAAATTCCAAGCCAAAACATTAATTCTGTCTATGCCAATTCGGCTCTAATTCTGATTTCTGCCTCAGAAATTAGAACCAACTGTCAAAGACTCAAAATAGGCCTTAAATGCAGGTTGCCTTTGCTGATTCAGGACCCAGAGCTAAAGGCAGTTTGCCCTCTCCCAGGCCGGAGTCTTCTCCTTGACCTCGATTTTCCATTTATTCTTCATTTATCTTGTATATTCTGATTTATGCATTTGTCGTCTCCCTCATTAGGCTAGGAACTCCTTGAGGGCAGGGACTATTTGGGGTTTTTTTGTCGAATCCCCAGCCAGGACAGTGTCTGCCACATTGTATCTGCTTAACTAATACTTATTGATGAATGGGTTAGTTACCTAATCAATTGATTTGCAGAGTCTGGGGAAAGTTTTCTGACTGAGCTCTAAAGCCCAGGAAGCTAGGGCTTCAAATCCAGACTCCTCATCAACAGAATGAGAACTAGATGATTTCAAAGCTGTTATTGTTAGCATTATCATTATTGTTGTTGCTGCTGCTATTGTTTTTTACTAAGACTTCCACTAGGAAGCTCAAAGCCAGCTGAAATCTCCATGATTCTAAGTCGACTCAGCTATAAATAGGTACATAAAGGAAGATTTCAGCTAGTGATTCTCCTGGGAAACAGCCGTGCCTCTCATTAGAGTGCCTTCCCCTCTGTAGGAATCTTGAGTAACATTTGATTTCTGTATGTGAAGTTCGTGGTCTAATGAGATCGATTACATTTCTGGCATTTGTGCCCTTGAAATGTAATTATGAAAAGGGGCCTCAGGATGCCAACCCGGGCTCGGACACGTCACTCTCTTTTGTGCAGCTCCCAGGATTATCCTGTGCCTCTGTGTCACCAATAAAGGAACGTGAAGTGCAGAGAAGAGCCAACCATGGACATTTTGGAGAAATAAGATTAGATCAGTGAGATGGAGTCATTAGCAGAATAGAAGATTGTGCTTAGAAATGGGTACCTCTGGCACCCAGATGAAGAAAGTCATGGGAAGAAAACGCAACTAGGTCCTCCATGTTTTACCTCTAGCCACCTGCGCAAGTATGTGCAAAAAAAAAGAAAGAAAGAAAAAAGAAGAAAAGAAATCATCTCCTGTTGTATTCATCTCCACGGTGTCCCGGGAAGCCTGGTGTTTTTGAGGAGATGAACCGTCCATGTTGCCATGGCTGCTGCCTCCCTAGAGTCACTGTTGCTCCCTGAGTCTGGGGCAGGCCTTGGGACTGCCTGCTTCTCCACATATTCTTTTCCCTTCTGGGCTGCTTTTAATGCCATCCAAGGCCCAAATAATTTGATATTGCTGTGCTTCAGAACATGGACAAAAAGCTCCACCTTGCTAAAGTCTACGCAGATCCAAACCATTCTTGGTTCCTCGTACAATATTACAGTTTGGGTAATATCACACTGTATTTACCTGTTGTCTCTTCTATTTAAATGGGGGTCCCTTCAGAACATGCATTATTGCTTTTTCTTTGTAGTTCCAACACTGAACATAGTTCCTGGCACATAGTGAGTGTTTAATAAACATTTGTTAACTTATTACAACAATTTTTCCCCTTTATAGTGATGGTTAAGTTGTTAACCTACAAGCCTAGGCATGGAATCAGGCAAATCTCAAGAAATAATTCATCCTTTAGCCTTGACCATGCCTAGCTCCACCGTACCCCCGTATCCACTTCCTCAAAAGCAGTTTGCTGGAGGACAAAAAGAAGCTCACAGGAGTTAGAACAACCTGGATTGTAATCCCCATTCTGACACTGACTAAATACATGACCATTGGCAAATCACTTCCTTATCCGAGTTTCCATTTCCTAAACTAGAAAATGGGAATCACAACAGCACCAAACTCCAGAGAGTTTGCAGGATCAAATAAAATGCCATATGTAGGGCACTTAAAGCCCATTATAATCTCCCACAATTTTCCCAGAGCCTGTTTCTTCACCTGCCAAAAATGAGGGGGCTGAACTTGATGGCCTCTGTCTTTGCTCCTATGATCCCACAATCCCTTTGACACTACCATGGGAAGTTGCCAAACCTCCTTGGGCCTCAGTTTCCTCTTGGACTAGGTGACCTCTGAAGCCCTCTGACCCATGGTAGGATTGAGAGGGGACCTTTTCCCTTCTCCAGAAGCCACAGACAAACGTTGTCTGAGACACATCCGGTCTTCAGCAGTGCCTTCAAGCTTGGAGATTAGGAGTGATAACGGCACATTAGCTCGTCTTTTCTACTCCCCTGCTGGTGCTCAGATAAGTGCTGCACCTTCTTTTCCCTTCCCTTCCCACTCTTGCCATCTCACTCTTCCTTGTGGCTTTGGAGATTACACACTTTGGAAAAGATTTCTCTCCTGTCCCCTTATTTCTCATCCCTGGGCAGAAAGCCCTAAGCCAGTTGCTGTCCCTACAGTCCTCTTTCTGCAATTTCCCAAGATTCCTCAAGAAGAAAGCCCAGCCTACAAAAACATAGAGGCTTGGCTACCCCCAACCCTGCTCAGAAACAATGAAAGCTCTCTTCAGAAAATGTAAGCTCCTTGTGGGGAAGCCCTGTTTTGTGTTGCTCGGCACAATGCCTGGCACATAGTGAGCACTACATAAATACTTACCAATTGGCTTACTTCACTTCTACATACCCACCTTCTCTCCAGTGACCTCTAAAGTCATTCCTTATCAATAAACAAGTAGACACCCTGGCCTAGACCAGTAGTTCCCAAAGTCAGGGTTATGTAACCCCAAGGAGCCATAGGATGAAGTTAACAGATATGTGAACAACCAATCAGAGATTACCCAAAATAGCCAATCACGGGCTTGTTTCCAACACAACCACACCACATCCTTCATCATTAGCACTTTGTGTTCTCCTTCACCAATCTCCTGTAACTCCTTCAATCCTAAAGCTGTGCCTGGGGGTACCCCAGGGGCAACCTTCAACTTGTATATAAACTAGGCACCTAGAGGGGCTAAATTGGCTAAATTCCTCTCCCACCCCATCCCCTTCCACCACATTTTTGACTCATCATTTTTACTCACCCTACTTGATCAAGCAGTTGCCCAGTCTTGTCATCCCTACCCCCAGAGCATCTCCCCTATCTGTCCCCTTCTCGTCACTCAAATAGTCACTGCTCCAGTTTGAGGCTCATCACTTCTTTCTGGGACTATTGAAACTGCCTCCAAACTGGTCTTCCCGACTCAGCTCTCCCTACTCCAGTCCTTTCTCCACTCAGCTATCAAAGTGGTCTCCCTAAAGATGCAGGTCTGAGAATGTCATGACCCACCTTCTCAGTCAATAAATTCCACTGACAACCTATGGCTTCCAGGATTAAATATTATTTCATATTTATCTCATTTTTTCTTAATATATTTTATCTATGTTTCATAATATAATAGTGGAGGGATTTTCTCACTAGGGAGTTCCATGTACCAGTGAAATAGCAGGCTTAATCCTTAATCTTATCCTTTTTTAACATGTGTAATAATTAATATAATTATTAGTATTAATAATAACTATTATTATAAGGTATAATATATTAATTATTTTGTATTATAATATATCATAACATAATTAATAATTAATTGTGTGTTGATTAATTAGTTGATATAATAGTATATTAATATAATATGAAATACACAATAATATATTATTATCATTTTGATGTTAATATTGTTAATTAATTATTAATATTGAGTTCATATGGATGGATGGGTATGTGTGTACACGTATACACACATACATCCAGAGATATACAGGTATACTTTTTAACATAAGTAAATATGTATAGATTGGAGTATACGCTGAAACTTTATTCTTAATTCTCTCACTGATAGGGTGAATGATCAGAAAAGTTTGGAAACCACAGCTCTGGACAACCCACCAGTCCCTGGGTATATCCTCTTCATTACATATCAAGTTTGTTCAACCTCAATGCCATAATTGGGTGGCATTGTACTGCCACTTTGTCAAGTCAGCTAAAGGAAGAAGGCTATTGTCCATGGTGAAAGGTTTTAGGAAATCTCTACCTCCAGACACTTGTGAAATACTCTGTGAAATGAAGATGTCATAGAAATGCACAGCATCACAATTGTTTAGCCAATAGGGCAAGGGTTTGATGTATAAAGATGGCCATGCCATACAGCAAGCTCAAAATTGCCCTTCTTATCTGGTTAACCACGTGTAGAGCTTTGGGCCTGGCTTTCAGCAATATAGGACCACATAGGGACTGGAGGACTTATTCTTTGAGATGACAGAAAGTCTCATTATTGGATATTAAGCCAGAAGAGCTGATGACTGAAGGGTACTTTTGGCTTCAATTCATGTCAGAATTCTTTTCACCCCCTTCCCAAAAGGTAACAGAGGAATAGAGTAGCTAGGACCAGCTATCCCTTAGGGTAGAGCCCCTTTGGGAGTGAGCTGATGTTCAACATATTCAACCATAAGCACATGACATCTAAAACACATGCCCTACATAGGCAACCCTGAGCCTGGGTTTAATTTACATCTTTTGAATTGTCTCTTTCCTAATTTCAGATGAACCAAGACCTATCCAAAGAAGGACCATCCAAGAATAGAGGTGACGTCAGTTTGAGGCCTGAAAGTTCCATACAGTCACAACTGACTGGTGGCCATAGGGGATTCCCTGGTAATGACTATGGTGACTTTGAAGAAGATGGTCATCACCAAGAGGATTATCTCAAAGCTGGCTATTGTACCAGGAGACATAGACTAGGAGTTGTTGGGCAATGCAGAGCCAAGGTGAGATGTAATGTGCCCAATCAGGAATCCTGAAATCTACTTTGTGTTCCTAAGAGCTATAAATACCAACCTCTTGAGAGAATGTCATGGCAATGGTAAATTCAACTACCAAAATCTGTTTTAAGTTGTTCTGACAGTGTATACTATCGATTCTTTGTGTAAAGGAAATAAATGTCTGTCCAATACCTGATTTATATTCTACATTGAATGCTTTTTAGTTCCTTCTTTAGGGAAGACATAGACATGAGCTTAATAAACCATAAGCAACTTGTCCCAGGAGTGCCAAGGTTTGAGGGGTTGGAGTGGAAGTGATAGTTAAAGTGCTGAAGAGTTCAAGAAAAGAGAGTCTCAACTTCCCCTCATTAAAGGCTAGGCTCCCTCAAGATAGAACCCAGTTGGATCAAGTAAATGGACACAGAGCAGAGGAACCCTTAGGGAGGAGCCCTTTGGGTATAGTATCAAGGCTCAGGAGCAATTCTTTAATGTTACAGAGGAGTTTTATGGAAATCATCGGCTCAGCTGAGCCAAATGGGTAGGATGGGCTGATGGCTTTTGTCCAGACTCATTCTTCATTGCCCCCAGATGTCCTGGTGTCCCTATGCTAAAATGAGAGGGATGAAGGGATGTTACAAGCAGAGCTGGGGATTTGTGCATCTTCTCATCACTGAATGATGGAGATGTATTATGCCCCATAGATTAGCCCATTGGAAGCCTTAATTTACCTCATCCTTCACCCACACTGATTACACAGCATTACCATGCTGCTACCCTCAATAAGACTGGAGGGCACAGCTCTGGCTGAGACCCATTCCTTCAAAGGCAAGAATGCCAGCCTCCTGGCTGGGGCTGATTACTCTTCTGATTCATTAGGGGATTTTCTTTCTTTCTTTTTTTCTTCATGATCTTTCTTTTGGAAAATGCAGTCACGAATCAATTTATTTGTATTTGTCAGCTTCTTTTCCCTACTCATCCAAATATGATAGATGATTATACAAACAGCTAAACATAGACTTAACTGCATGCAAAAATGCATTGGGCCACCAGCCTACGCAGAGCTAGAGGCTGAAAATTCTTAGGGGCTGGGGGAAGGAATGGCCACCATTGGTGGGGGAGGTGGTGTTTGTTTGACTTTTAATCCTTCCTTTCTTTAAGTTGCTTGGAGCACTTGGGAGGAATTACCTAATTAATCACTCCTGCCAAACTCCTGGGGAGAGATCCAGGCAAGGACAGCATTGAGGCGTGGGACTCTGGCTAGAATCACCCTCTGAGTCAAGAATAGAACACAGGAGTACTGGCTCCCAATCCATCCTGGATCAGAATGTCTGAATGCCCCTCCTCCCCCTTGCCTGCCTAGCTGTCTGGCTGCCTGCCTGTTTTAGTCTGTCTCCTCTGCCTCTGTCTCTCTATCTCTCTGCCTCTCCTCTCCTCCTCTGGCTCTGTCTCCTTTCTCCATGTCTTTCTCTCATCCAAATGCCTAATATTACAAATTTCAGGTTATCTGACCACTTCCTCCCACTACTGCCCCTGTGAAAACAAAGCATTCTTATTTGGGAAACCAGAAAGAGTTTTCTAAACCTGGCTTGATTATACTAACCTATTCTAAGCAGACTATTGGTTAGCAAGAAAGCACTGGACAACATTTACCAAAGAAAGCAATCATATTTTGAAGATGTATAGTATCCATTGCATTGTGAATCATTAAACTAATTCAACATGTATTACATGGAAAATATGGAAGTCATAACAGTGTCTTTTACAACAGGATTCAAATGAACTTCAAAGGACTCTCAGTTCTTTACACTGGATTTTTATTGTATCAAATATGTCATAAATGAGAGAACTGGCATCTGGAACTTGGGGGGGGGGAATGAAGGTAGATTTGCTTATGTGTATACACTTGTGTTTTCCTTCATTGACTATCAACTTATTGAGGGCAGGTCCTAGTTTGGGAAGATGGGGCATCATAGCAGAGTCCACAGTCCTCATTTTATAGTTTCCCATGATGCCGCTGTGTTTCTCTGTGCATCCCCAGCCTCTTTCACAGTGCTTCAAACATTTAAAAAAAAATCTGGACGTGTGATTTTGTCAGCAAGCGAAGCTATACAGACAGTATATGATCCCCTCCTTTGATGAAGAGCGCACCTACTCTGTAACTTTGCCTTAGAAAGTTGCAAGTAACCCATGGTCACACCACATGTGCATTTCAGAGGCAGTACTTGAACACAAGTCTTCCTGACAGTGAGCTTCTCTCTCTACCCCACCATGCCAACCTTCCTCACACCTTGAGAAGTTGGGGGGGGGAATGAGATCTATGATGAAGTAATGATAAGATTATAGGATCCTGTCGATTTGGAGTTGAAAGGCACTTCAGTCCATCTTGTCCAATTCTCTTATTTTATAGTTGAGGAAACTGAGGCCCAGGGAGGTTCAGGGGCTTGCCCAAGGTCACACAGGTGAGACATGAGATTTTAATACACATCCTTGACTTTCTAGCAGGTATTTCTTCCATTGTACCACACTGTCTCCTACAGAACTCCTGGTATGGAAACTACATCCACCAATGTAAATCTGGCATCTGCTCAACAAACTGTTTTAGAGAGTTTCCTGGGGCACTGAGAGGATAAGTGACTTGTCCAGAGTCACATGGCCAGTATGTCTCAGAAGTAGAATTGGAATTTAGGTCTTTCTGACTCAAAAGTCATCCACCCACCCTGTCTCTCTTACCCAATCCATACCAAATTAAATATGTTGATACCTTGATTTGTCCATATTTGAACAGCCAGAAAGAACAATTACTAGAACTGAGCTCCCATGTTCTTTCCATGACATGAGGGTATGTCCTTGTGAGTTATTTCACTGTCTTCTTTTCTATTACCTAATCTAAGAAATCTTGTAGTAAAATGCTGCAAGTCACAAATTTATCACAGAAATGCCAAGCTGACTCCATCACTTTGCCAGCCTCCATCCCCTCCCACTTCTCTTTTCATTTAACCTTACTATTTGCTTACATGAGCCCCAGGAAAGTAGGTCTTTTCAGACATGAGTGAATGCTCTGTACCGTGTCAGTCTGGTGGGAAAGGGATGGAGTGCTTTTATGATTCCTGTCATCTCAAAGTGGGTAAATAGATACATCTGTGGGGATAACAAAGGGATGAAGTACTAGAAATTCTCTACTGTCTAGACAGTAATCAAACTCATTTCACAGCAGGTGCTAAACATTTATAATTAAAGCTGTTTAAGGAATTTCCAAAAGAAAAAAATTCCAAAAGAGGAAGTGAAATGTTAACTTTTTTCAAATCAAATTTCTCATTTCCCCTAGCTCCCACTTCAGTCTCCATAGTAACCAGAGCCCTTAACTGGGCTATTTCCTTCAGCTAATTGATTTTCAGAAAGAATTGATTAATAAAGAAAAACCCAACCTCTCTTTTTCCAAGACCCAGTGACAAACACTACCTCACTTGTTCCTTCTCTCTCAATTTCCTTCTCCTGGCCCCTCTTCCTCCTCTGTCTCCCATCCCTCCAGGAGATTGATCATTCCTCACAACTCCCTCTCCCATACACTTGACATTTCCCAGGGATGCTTCAGCAAGAGTGATGTAGTGGAACAGGAAAGGAGACAATTCTCTTAGGTGGGTAGGCCACAGGACTTGCGAAGTCAAAAGGGAGTGAATTCTGGAACTTGCTTTCCATTGAACCTTCTCCTTGGGCCAAGCAAAAGGAGATTCCCTGCCACCTATCACCCAGCACACACACACACACACACACACACACACACACACACAGAGTATTCTGATATCAAAGATATGGAAAAAAAAAACAAGGATAACTCCATAGTCTAGCCAATGCAGTCTGCACCCATTCATGGACATTAAGGAATTAGAAATTAATCTTATTACACCCCTTTCTCCAGCTTGTCCTTAGACTCTGTCTTTCCTTTAGAGATAGTCATGCCTTACTGCAGTTCTCTTCACCAATGATTTTTTTAAGGAAGAAAAAAATGTTTCCTTGTCATTCCTCCAAAACTTTATTTGATCCCATTTGCTCATGTCTCCTGAAGAAGCTTGTCCCATAAATCACTCTCTCTCCCTCCTTCTCTCATCTCCCATCTCTCCCTAGCTACTGCCTCCTTCGCTGTTGCCTACAAACATCTTCTGCTCTCCCCTCCTCTTTCAGAAAGGTTCATTTCAGCCTGCCATACTCTCAAGTGGTAGGCCTATGGAGAGGCACCATGTTGGATTTGGAGTCAGAAAGGCATGGGTTGTAATCCTGCCTCTGATGCTTACAAGCTAGGTAACTATGAGTACATCCCTTGACTTCTTGGAGAAGTGGTTTCTTTGTCTATAAAGGGGAAGTAATCATACTTTCAATACCTCTTCTAGAGGGTTGTTATGAAGATGAAATGAGATAATGCATATTATGTGATTAATGCACTATTAAAAAGTAAGTTGTTATCACTATCATCTCTCCTCAAATTCATTAACTTCTTAGAAGGGTTTTATGGTACTAGCTGTCTCTATCCTAACCAAGAAATCACTTCCTAACCCTTCAGAGCCCAGATTCTGACTACCCTAGTCTACTGAAACTGCTGTCTCAAAGGTCAACAATGACCTGTCAATTGTTTGGTCTGTTGATCTGTTTTTCTTAGTGCTTATCAACCTTAACCATATTGTAACACCACTGACTCTGCTCTCCCTTCTCCCTATGGGCTTCCATAGCACTGCCCTTTCTTGGATCTCTTTCCATCTACTTGGTCAATATCATTACCTGGTTCATAGTCATCCTTTTCCTGCCCCCTAAATGTGGTTTCCCCGGTGATTGCCTCCTTGGCCATAATTTCTTCTCATGCAACATCCTCTTCCTTGATAATGGCATCCAATCCCTTGGGAGTCATCTCTACTAAGATAACTCCCAAATCTATCCAGATGACTTGAAAATAAGGTAGCTACATGGATTCAGGAAGACTTTAATTTTAATCTTGGCTGAGACTATTGCTAGCTGTGCCATCTTAGGTCTCACTCATTTCTCTTAGCTTCAGTTTCTCATCTATATAACTAGGCTAATGATAGCACCTATCTTACAGGATTATCACCTATCTCACAAGATTGTCCTGAGCACCAGAGATTGCATAAATAAGGCACTTTGCGAGCCATGAAGAGCTATATAAATGCTAGCTCTTGTCTACATATTCA